AATTTTATTTGCCATTTTACCAACTGATCTTATCCAATCAAACAATAAAAAAATGTTGGATAGACCATAGATAAGGACCAAGACCGCAAATAAAAAAGTACTTATTATCTATTACGTATTAGTCAATTGCAGCTTTTAAAGGTTTTACATTCAATGGGGAAAACAACATGTGTGTGTGTACACACACACACACACACACAAACAAAATAAAAGAAATACAGAGTAATTGGAGGGGGATCAGGAAAGGCCTAATGTAGGAGGTGGCACTTGAGCAGAGCTCTGAAAGAAGCTTCTTTCTAAGAACCAGAGGTGAAAAGACAGAATATCATCTGTGAATAACAGCGAATAGGTCATTATGGCTGGACCACAAAGTGTGTAAAGAAGAGTGAGATAAGCCTAGAAAGGTAGGCAGAGCCAGACTGTGAAGGGCTCACATGCCAGAGGAATTTGTATTTTATTCTAGAGACAATGGGGGTGTCACTGGAGCTTTCTGAGCAGGGCAGTGACACGGTCGGGTGTGTTTTAAGAATATAACTTTGTCATGTGTGGAAGATGTAACACAAAAAGGAAAAACTAGATGCAAGGAGACCAATTGGGAGGCTATTGCAATATTGTAAGTGAAGTGATAAGAGTCCAAACTAGGGTGATGGATACGTGACTTGAGATAAGGGAACAGATAAGAGAGATGCTGTAGCCACGGAATCAAATGAAACTTGGCAACTGATTTTATATGTGAGGTGAGGGAACAGTGAGGAGTACAGGTTTACTCTGAGGTTGTAAATCTGGATGACTGGTAAAAGAATGCTGGTACCTTGAAGGGAAATAGCCAAGTTCTAATAGGCAGCTGGTAATGCAGGAAAGAGGGAACGTAGGTGGCACAGGAAATAGCACACTGCTTGGAATTCATCTTCATGAATTCAAATCCAGTCTCAGATACTTTACTAGTGACCCTGAAGTTACCTAATCCAGTTTGCCTCAGTTTCCTCATCTGTAAAATGAGCTGGAGAATGAAATGGCAAACCATGCCAGTATCTTTGCCAAGAAAACCCCAAATGGGGTCATGCAAAGCTGAACACCACTGAAATGTCAGAACAACAACAAATGTAGGAAGAGTATGGGACACGAGTTAGATGCATAGATGTGGGAGCCATCTCAATAGAGATAATTAACCCAGGGGAACTAATGAGATGATATAGAGGGATCTAAGACAGTCTCAAGGTTTACCCACAGCCAGGGGCTAAGACTTGCTTATCCAACAAAGAAGACTGAGGAGTGTCCAGGAGAGATTATCTAAGAGGAAAGAGGGTAGTTACTAAGGTCAAGAGAAGTCAAGAAGGGTTGGATTTGTCTATTAAGGAATCACTGGTAGCCTTGAAGAGAGTCACTTCATTTGGGTGAAGTTGGAAGCTATAATGCAAGGAGTTGAAAAGGGACAAGTAGGGACAATAAGAATAGACAGCTTTCTCTAGGAGTTGGCTCGTCAAAGAGAGGAAAGATATAGGATTGCAGCTTAAGATTAACATGCTATAGTCAAGTGAAGATTCAAGAAAGGGGGAGACCTAGGCATGCTGGTAGGCAATCAACAAGCATTTACATTAAGCACCGTATTAGTGCAGGCACCATGCCAGGCATTAAGATACAGACAAAAGTATAAAGTTATTGCCCTAGAGGAGTTTACAATCTAGCCAGTTAGTTGTATGGTATATACAGAGGTAGAGGTATATACAGAACATATACAAAACAGATAGAAGATAATTTTGGGTAGAAGGCACTAAGAACTAGTGACTTGGAAAGGGGGAAGGATACAGAAAGGCTTCATGTAGAAGGTGAAACTTGAGCTAAACCTTGAAGGAAGCTAGGGATTCTAAGGGGTAGAAGTGAGAAAAGAGTACACTCCAGGTACTGGATGAATTCAACTGATTCTGAATATAAAAGAGGATGATTTAAAGATAAATATGCCCAGGGAAGGGATAGGACTGGGGTATGAGTGTAGAGGGGTTGGGGTTGGCCTTGGTGAGAAGAGATATCTTTTCAAAGACTGGAATAAAGGAGAACATAGGCGTAAAGTCAATGAGTTTTGAGTTGCAGAATAGGATAAAAGAGAGCTAAAAGGAAATAGCTTTTATTTTCTCAGTAAAGTATGAGTTTTTCAGAGGCCTTCAGTTAAGAGGGAGAGAATAATATGGGAGGTTTGAGAAGAGAAGCTTTAGAATGACCAGATTTGGGAAACTGGAATAAAAGTAGATTAGGGAAAGGCTAAAGTGAATGCCGTATTGAGATTAGACCTTAGACCTTAAGAGAGGATCCAAAGATTCAGATTAACTTGTATAGCCCCTCATTTTTCAGATGAGGAAACTGTTCTTTAAGGTCCTCCCAATTCTTGATCATTCTATGATCCAATTCAGTCATCTCATTTTATAGATACTGAAGACTTCCCTCAACACTATAATAAACACCATGATCATCTTCTAGATCATACCTAAAGGATCTTCCATTTCACCTTCCTTAGAATCATGGAACCATCTTAATGTCACTTCTCCCACATCCTAGCCAAATTACTAACATCTGGATTACTTTACTGGTTTACTTTTCATCAATCAGCTCATAGACACTACAAGTTACTTCTAAACTACTGCATAAAACATATCCATATTCCCCTATACATATCTTAGCCAGTTCACAAGTCACTAATAACCTCATAAGCTTAGCTACCATAACTCATTATATACTTTTTTGGTCTCTCAGTGTCAAATTCTCTAGATTTCCTTGGTATGTAATCTTCTTCTTCAACTTCAGGCCTTCTCCCCAGGACTGAGTACATAAAAATATTACACTACAAAGCTAATTAAAGACCCTTGCCTCTCTTTCAAAGGTCATCTCAAATCACACTAATTCATCAACAAGCCTAAGTGAGGAATATATGCACATCCCCATTCAAATTACTCTTGATCACCACCCCTCAAAAAAGTTAAATCATATATTCATATCGGATCCAGAGTTTTCCCTCAAAACAATCTTGTGAGACAGGTCATGCAAACATCATCCTCAATTTACAGATAAAGAAACGGAGGCTTACAAAAGCAAAACGATTTATCTAAAGTGCGCTTTATTAACTCTCAGGTGCCACTCAAACCCAAGGCTTCTGCTTCTAAGTTCAGTATTCTACCCACTGTACCATTTTCTCTTTGGTTCAGCCACTTCCTCACAACTCTAAGTATCAAAATTTCAAGAGCTACACAGGACATAGGCCTATCTCAGAAAATTTCCTCAAGAGCATAGCTATTGTCTCAACGTTCTGAGTAAGAAAGATCATTTTAAGAAAGCAGCAGAAATGTGCCATAGCCTCAAAAATAGTCTCTGTAGTTTATTAGAGGTAGAAAGAACCTCAACAATAATTTAAAATGCCAGGGATTAATCATTTAGTTCAACACCTTCATTTTATAGATTAGGAACTGGAGGACAAGCAAGGTGAAGTGATTTGATGAAGGTCACATAGCTTAGCAAACTGAAGAGCTAAGACGTGAATCTCAATCTTCTAAGTCCAAAACCAGTGCTATTGTCACACATCAGAGCTGACAGAAAGTTCTTAAAGTATTCAGTTGATGCCCACACCTACTTTCAAAAAGCATTAATGGATGCACCCACATCTTTGCTTAGAAAAAGTAAATGTATTAAATATTGGTTAAGGTAATGAAAAAACATAAACCAAAAGCATTAAAACACAAAATCAAATGTGTAAAAAATACAAATAAATAGCCTATAGATTTAGCCTCACAAATCAGCAGACATCTGAGGGAAAAAAACACTATTTTTCAAAAATTTAAAAAATTTTCTACTGCTGAAATAAAAACTGCATTTCACAAAAGCTTTAAGAACACTAATGCAATAGATGACATAAGCTAAAAATTAAGAACTTTTTAATAGGTGATATTACATTAACTTAAAAACATACCTTACTGATCAAGAGTAAAATTTTGTACATGCAATGACAAAGCTAAAAATGTTATCTGTCAGTAACAAGGCTGAATCACAGTAGTCACCCACTCCACCCAACATATCCACCCTTACTAAGACAGAACAGTTTAAAAGCTTGGAAAACTTCCCTTACTTACTGCTTGCCAGGAATGATTCCATTTTAGCAGATCACAGTTAAACTAAGGCGAATGCAGGAAAATGTTAGTAAACTCCTAGAACTGATACTGCCCAAAATAAAATGATTAGTTGCTTTGCTTCCACACCATTAAATGTGCTTTTTCCAGGTTTGTTGAACCTCGAAATTAAGTTTCATACACTTTAAATATATATATACATATATATTCTTAAAATGCATCAATAGCAAAACTTTAGATACTTTTAAAAGTGTACAGTTTGGAAATTAAACTTGTGACAAGTTTTTTTAGTATTAAATAGAAAAATTCTACATCACAATTCTTTTTGTGCTATAGAACAGTCAACTTCTCCCCCCAAAAAAAGCCAGCGTTTGTATTCTATGTTTGCAAATTGTGAAGTGTATTTTAGAATTTGCAAATTGTGCCAAAGTTATTCCTTCCCTTCAAGACAAATTCTGCTTTTATTTTTTAGTGTGCATGTATTTGGTTTAGATTCTTACCAAACCAGCAAGTCATTTACATATTTAAAAAGGAATTCCTGACAGTTCTTAAAATCTTTTCCACAAACGGAAAGTATATTGTAAAAATATTTGCTCGTTAAAAAGCAATTTGAGTCTTAAGTACTGAAATGTATTACGGAACCAGAAATGAGCCACCTAGCAAAAATTCCAAATCCACCAGCTAAAGAACTTTGTTCGGGGTCAAATAATGAAGGTTTCCACTTTCCCTTCAGAAGGGTACCTATATTTCTCATTTCAGGAATGGGAAATCAGGCAAGATGATCAGACGAGTATTCTAGCAAAGTAGTACAGAAAGGGCTCACCCTTGGCTTCCAACCATCCCTCTTCTCCCCTCCCCCCACCCCCTTTAAGGAGGGGAGCCAGGACTCACCAGGACCGTGGTGCAGATGGATCTTAGTTCACACTCCACTTTCTCCCGGTAGTCCTTGACCAGCTGCATCTTCTTGTCACTGGTGTCAGTTTTCTGCTCAATGCTGGAAATGACCCTCCAGGCTGACCTTCGCCCCCCGACTACGTTCTTGTAGGCCACCGAGAGCAGGTTGCGCTCCTCGTTGGAGAGCTCAGCTCCCTGCTCGGTCACCGCCTTCATGCAGGTGGCCATGTCGTCATAGCGCTCGGCCTGCTCGGCCAGCTTGGCCTTCTGGATCATCTCGGTCTTCTCCATAGTGGACGGGTTCCGGGTGGGAGTGGGGGCAGTGGCGGCGGCGGAAGCAACAGGGCTCCGGGGAGAGGGAGAAGCAGCACCGAGGGTGGGGCAGGAGAGAATCAGCCCAGATCAGGGAGAGTCCTCGAAAGCCTAAAAGGTGGAGGGGGCCGGAGGGGAGAAGGGAAAAGAAAGGAGGGTGGAGATAGAGGAGAGGCAACGAATAGGGGAGCGGGAGGTGAGGGAAGAGGAGGCAACCGTGTCAGACCAACCGCCCTCCACCCCGCCCAGCACCTCGGGCACCCAACCTGGGGCTGCTGCGGCCGCCTTTTGTCTCCGTAGCGCTTTCCCAGCCCCCTCCTCGGGCCGGTAACCGAAGCGCCGCCCTCCCCAGCCCACCCCGGCCACACCCACCGCCTGAGCACCTAGGGAGGAGGGGCCGGAGGGATGGGGGGGTGACCCAGACCGCTCCGAGCTATGGGGGAGGGGGGCCCCCTGTGACGGGAAACCCCCGACACCTCCCAAGCTCCGGCCCCGCCCTTCTTGGGCGTAAGGAAGGGGTGATCTCCCAGGACCTACCGGACGGGCTACCCCCGAAAAGCAAACGCGGGGAGAACGAGACCGGGAGGAAGGGGGGACTCCCCGAGAGCAGAGACCGCCTTTGTATCCCCCTAGCCGAACTTGGTGCCCGAACAAATGCTGCAAGGGTTGAATTCGAGGCTGGGGGGTGAGCAGAAGGCGGCAACGGGAGGAGGAAAGGGCGGGCCGAGGGAGGGGGCGGGGAAGGACGCTCGTGCGGGCGGGCGGGCGAACCGGGACGAGACCGGGGCGGCGGCCACTTTCCCTGACACCAAGGCTGGGCCAGGCCGCTCCGCCCGCGGGGAGGCGGGAAAAGGCCGGTCACGCCGACCCCTCGGGGGCCCCCACCCCACTACCGCCGGTCCCGGCCCCGAGCTAGTCTCAGCCTCGGCTCCCTTCCAGGAAGCACAAAATGGATGCGGTGGCGGTTAGTGCCGCACCCCACCCCCACCCGCTACCTCCCCTCCCCGGCCGAGGAGACCCAGAGGATACTCCCTAACCTCCCCGCCAGCCCCGGGCCACCCCTCCCCACGGAGGAAGCCCCGGCGGAGGGCCCAGCAGTGGGCGACCACTCTCGCCCCCCAGTTCTCACCTTCACCTTCACCGCCTCCGGTCGCCCCTACTTTGATCCGCTTTAGGCTTTGGCGAAGGAGCCTCCCCGTCTCACCCTACCCCCAAGCGCTGAGAGGCGGGCGGCGGCGGAGACAAACCCACTGCCCGCGGCGGCCCAATGCGGCGCGGCCATTCCGCTGCCCGTTCCGCCTCCCTTCAAGCTGCTGACCAATGGGGCTGGAGCGCGCGGAAGGAGGCGGGGGGGATGGAAGGGGGAGTGGGCGGGGTGGGATAGGGTGGGGAAGGAGTGGAGGGAAGGAGGGTGGGTCAGGCCCCGCAAGTTTGGTTGGCCGGTAGGCTGCGGCTTCGGCCACGGGGTTTCCTCCAATTAGATCCAGGGTAAAATCACGTCACTGTTGCCATGGCGATACAGTTACAACCCCCCCACCCCCTCCTTTCTCTCAGCCGGCCTGGGTGCGGCACGAGACCGAGTGAGGCTCTCGGGACTTCTACCTGGGGCGACTAACGTGTGCTGCTGCAGTTGCTGCATTGGATCGTGGGGCCCCACTGCAGCTCTAGATGGCCTTGGGGCGGCTGCGGCTTGACTTCTGCTGTGCATTTGGGATGAGATGACATAATCGGTGGCTTTGTCGCCAAAGCTCCTTTCCGCCCACCCTTCCTTAATCTTGACAAAGGCTACCGGAGCTCGGTGCTGCTAAATCCACTCTACCCCCAGCCCATCCACCCCACGTCAGAATGCGATTAGGGCTGCGAATTAGAAATAATCACATCCCTATTATAAAGGCAATTAGTTACCGGAAAACCGGAGTAAAATGGCTTAAGAGACGGTTTTATAGGATAAACTGTAGCTTTGAAAAGTTCAATGCTCCCTCCCCAAGCTAGAGAAGAATCCCCGTCTTTGGTCCCGCACACATTCTCGTCTCTGAAGATGGAATAATAAAAATCATCTGGCCTCAAACACTTACTAACTGTATGACCCTGGGCTAGTCACTTAACCCTGTTTGTCTCAGTTACTTATCTGTAAAATGATCTGGAGAAGGAAAGAGCAAATCATTCCAGTATCTTTTGCCAAGAAAACCCCAAATGGGGTCAGACACGGCTGAAACGAAAGAACAACAATCTGTGTGACCTTTGGCCAGTCACTTGTCTCCTTGAGTCTTGGTTTCTTCACTGGTAAAATAAGGAAGGTTGGAATAGCTAATCCCCAAGGTCCCTTCAGTCAGTCAATAAGCATCTTTTCAAAGCCTACTACTATGTGCCCAGGCACTCCCTAAGTACCAGGGATACAAAGAAGGAAGCAATCTCTCTTCCCAGGGCATTTCCATTCTAATAGGGAAATAAGAACATTCACCGACATTAAGAAAATAAGTACAGGGGAGTTTGAAAGGAAGGGCACTAGCAGTTGGAGATCTAGAAAGGTTTCAAATCAAAGGTTCCTTTCAGCTCTAAATCTTATGACCTGGTGTCACACATGAGCAGGGCTTTGCCAATCATAGGATTTTGAGTTAGAAAGGATCTTAGAGATTGCTTTATCCACCCTTCATTTTGCAAAGTAGGAAACTGACACTCAGAGAAATAGCCATGACTACAACCCAGGTTATCTACTTTATTCTCCAGTCAGTGTTTTTGAGATGGAATTTCAGAGACTACACCTGCACTCTTCCCTTCCTTCTCCCTCTCTCTGTTTCTACCTCTGATCACCTTCTATGGATAGTGGAAAGAGCAGGAGACTCAGAATTAAAGAACTTGGACTTAAATTCTCACTGCTATTAACCACCTGTGTGTGACCTTGGACAAGTCATTTCCCCTCTGAGCCTCAGTGTCTTCATCTGTTTAAAATGAGAGGGTTGGAATGGATGACCTTTGAGGTTCCTACAGGTTTTGACATCGTCACATACACCTCTCTCTCCACCCCACAACTCCCCCTTCCAAAAGAAAAGAAAAGAAAAGAAAAAAGCCAGCAAGATTCTCTCAGTGTTAATTCAATCCAATAAATATTTATTAAGCACCTACTATGTTCCAGGCACGGTGCTGAGTGCTGGAGACACAAATAATAAAAAGAGAGGTAGTCCCTGCCCTCAAGGAGCTTACAATCTAATGGAGAAACACAACACACAGAAGTATTTCCTTACCCACCTATATGAGGAACATTACATAGCAAGGTGGCTTTGCAAGTTGCTTGGGCTGGAAAATGCCCTTGTTAGATAGCTGGAATTCCCTAATGAGTGGGTTATTAAAGGCCAAGGAATAGGAAGGAACTGTAAATTCCCAATCCAGAATGCAACATATTTGGAGAATCTCTAGAATGGAAGGGCTGAATCTAGTAAAGGATGGGAATGTGTTGAAAGGCCCTTCTAGAAATAAGCACAGCACACTACCTTTCTGACCCCTTTAAAGGCACACAGTTCCTTGCCTAGAATAAATGCTCAAAAATGTTGCAAGAATTTAATTTAGGAAAGAGTTGATTCTGTTTAGACAAGCAATAGAGACTGAGTTTGGAGACAGAGAGAGTGCATGACTTTGTGTAAAAATGTCCTGACCTTCCTAACATAAGGCCCCTGGTATTATTCCTGGAATCCCTGGGGCAGGGCTTCAGACACAAGTGTTTATGGTTGTATGGACAAGGCAAGAACAAGACCCTGAGAAATCCCAGTGGAAAGAATTTGCATGTGGAAGGGGACATGATAGGTCAGATAAAACGCTTTCTGTGTAACCAGTGCATTTCAACAAGGCTGACTTAAGAGCCAGATTGAACTAGGAAAACCATTGAAAGACTGGGCTTGTGTCAGAGGTTGTTAAGCAAGTGTTGGGAGGCTGAACCAGAGGCATTCAGGGTGGGTGTGCTGGCTCCATAGGATCACAGAGATATTTATGGGATGGAGGGCCTGCTGCTCAAGCAGAGGGAGGCAATGTATTATAGTGGAAAGGCAATAGGACTGGAAGTCAGGAGGCCTTTCTGTGAAAAATTAGAAAGTAGTATGGAAAGAACAGAGGATTTGGTGGCAGAAGCCCCGCTCAGGTCCCAACTCTGTCATATAATTATGCGGTTTGGGATCTAACTTAAGCCTAAAGTGTGCTTTAAAAAAAAAAAAGATTCACAAACATCTGAGTAGTATTTTTCATTCAGAATACCCATATATTATTATCAGTATCTCTACTTGTCAGTTAACAAGCATTTATTAAGCACCTACTATGTGCCAGGCCCTTAGGATCAAAAGAAAGGCAACCCCCCCAAAAACAATGTGGTTCTTGCCCTCAAGGGGCTCATATTTTAATGGGGAAGACAACATGCAAACAAGTTTTCCCTCACTCAGTTCTTTTTCATGGACTGCTCTCAGTGTGAGGAACACTTCCTCCTCACTTCTGCCTCTTGGTTTTCATACATACAGGTTTTACACACACACACACACACACACACACACACACACACTAGCTAACATTTATGTAGCATTTACTAGGTGCCAGGCACTGTGCTAAGCACTTTACAATTATCCTCTCATTTGATCTTAACAACAACCCTGGGAGGTAGGTGCTATTATCATCCCCATTTTACAGATGAAGAAACTGAGGCAAACAGAGTTTACGTGACTTGCTGTACACACACACACACATGCATGCGTATGTGTCTGTACACAGTCTGAATGGGAGATGATTTCTGACAGAAGGCACGGAGGGATTGGAGGGGATAAGGAATTGGGAAAGCCCTCTAGCAGAAGGTGGCATCTGAGCTGAGTCTTGGAAAAAACCAAGAGGCAGAAGTGAGGAGGGTGTGTGTTCCTCACATTGGGGGCAGTGCACGAAAAAGAACTGAATGAGGACTTGGAGTACTATGTTCAAAGAACTGGGAGAAGGTGAATGATCTAGTGAGATCACAGAGGGAAGGGATACTGGGAAGGAAGGAAGGAAAGGGCCAACTTGTGAAGGGCTTTAAAAGCCAAAGACAAGCCAATTATATTTTATCTTGGCGGTAATAGGAAGCCACTGGAGTTTATTTGGGGTGGCATTGACGGAAACAAGGGAAAAGGGAAGTGACAAGCATTTATTAAATGCCTACTATGTGCCAGACATTGTACCAAGCACTTTACAAATATCTCATTTGATGGTCAGACCTGCATTATCATTTAACCTCTGTTTCGGTTTTCTTATCTATAAAATGGACATAATAATAACTGCTCCATTTACCCCACAGATGTTGTGAGGAGCACATGAAATGTTTGTGAAAGTACTTTGTAACCCATAAAGCACTATATAAATGTCTGCTATTATTATTAATTCTGCCTCTGCTAACTTGTTATGACCTTAGGCTAGTCCAGGTTGAGATACCTTTTATCACCCATTCTTCAACTGGGTTGTGAGGGTGCAAAACAATAATGGAAAAGGTGAATATGAGGGTATTTTTATGAAGGTCCAGGATGAGTAGTTTGAAAGCATTGGGTAAGCTCGTTTACTTTCCTGTCCTTCAAGACATGATTTTTTTTTTTTTTAGTTCAGTTATTCAACAGACATTTATTATGCACCAGTTTGGTATAAAGCACAGTGACAGACTCTGCAGAAACCCTGAAAGTGAGATAAACATGGGCTTACAGTCTAACAAAAAAGATAAGACACAATCATAGATAAATATATACAATATGATATAGGAAATGCATTAGAGCAGGGGACCTTAACCTTTTTTTGAGACATAGACTCATTTGGTAACCTGTTGAAACCCTTCTCAGAATAATATTTTTAAATGCATGAAATAGGGGCAGCTTGGTGGTGCAGTGGATAGAGTGCTAGCCTTGGAATCAGGAGGACCTGAGTTCAAATCTGGCCTCAGACACTTACTAGCTGTGTGACCCTGGGCAAGTAACTTAACCCCAATTGCCTCACCAAAAAGCAAAAAAAAAAATAATAATAATAATAAATGCATGAAATAAAATACATGGAATTGTAAAGCAATTATGATGTAATAGTTATCACAATTTTTCTTGAACAAACAAGTTCATGGACCCCAAGTTAAGAACTGCTTGAGGTGATTGTTCAGTGGTGTGCAACTCTTTATGACCCCACTTGGGGTTTTCTTGGCAGAGATCCTAGAGTGGTTTGCCATTTCCTTCTCCAGCTCATTTTACAGATGAAAAAAC